GGCAGGCTGCTGGGAGGCAGTGGGAGGAAGCAGGGCAGGGTGGGGGTGCGTTTCCCAGCCAGGATGCTGGAAGCTGGTGGGAGCCCAGCCCGGGAGCAGGGCAGCGGAGAGCCCCCGGGGATGCCGGGGGACGGCAGGGTGCAGGTAGCTCTGGTCCCCATCCCCATCACTTGATGCGGGTGAAGATGGAGGTGCCGACCCTGTGGGGAAGCCATGTCAGCAGATGGGGAGAGAGGGCTCTGGGGTGGGAGGGCAGGGGCAGGGCTCACCTGGTGGCTTTCCAGTTGTCCCTGCAGGACAGGACCTCTTCCCGCAGAAGCCACGTGGTCTCCAGTGTCTCCTTCCCACGATGGTCCACGAAGCACTGTCCCACAAAGGCGGTGGTGGAGTCTGGTGGGATTCAAGCAGGGCAGAGGGGGGCTCAGAGCCTGCGCCTCCAGACAGGGCAACCCAGGACCCACCTGGTCCTGGCAGACAGAGAGACACCCCCACCACATGCCCTGGGCAGACAGATGGACCTCCCTGCCAGATTGCCCCCTTGGGTGGCTTCCACCTCTCCCGGACAGACAGAAGGGCACCACCCTGGCCGTGTCCTTTGGACAGACAGATGGACACCTCTGCCACCCCTTCCAGACAGACAGCCAGCCCACCCCCCCGACGTCTCCTGTGGCTGGTCCGTGGCCACAGCCAGGGTTTCTCTGGGTGCCTCCAGCCGCGGGGCACCCCGCTCCAGCATCCCAGCATGGGCAGTGGATCGCTGGCTGCCCTGGGATGCCGTGCCGGGTCTGCTGTACCTGCAAACTGCCACTGCACAGTGAAGCCGAAGGTGGGCTGCCTCTTGGCACTGAGGTGCTGCTGTGCCCCTTGCAGGGGTGACACGAGGATCTGCTTGTTGGTGACCGCCACGGCAGTGTGGTAGGAGCCCGAGAAGGTCCCGGCCGCATCCAGGGCCAAGAGGGTCATGTTGGAGCCCAGCTCGTTCCTCCACAGGCCCTGCAGGTTGCACTGGGGACCAGGCTAGTGTGGGTACCTTGGGAAGCACCGAGCCATGCCCCTCTCCTCTAGCTTGCCTGGGCAGTGGGATGTGTGCCCTGCACATCTGCAGCTGGCACAGCCCCTCCGCATGGCATCTGGGAGTGGTGGCACGGGCACCGGCTGGGCCAGCATCTCTCCCTGCTGTGCCAGGGCAGGGCAGTGTAGAGCTGGGGGTGCTGGGTACCCCCCATAGCAGGTGTAGGTGACCAACACTACCCCTGGGCATGGCACAGCCAGAGCTGGCAGCCCCCTCGGTCACACACACTGCACCCTGGCATGGCACAGCATG